TATATATATATATATATATATATATATATATATATATATATATATATATATATATATATATATATATATATATATATATACATATAACAATCCATCATGTTATTTTAGTATAAATATAAGTTTGAAATTAAATATTTTATAAACTAAAAGTGATTATTTCCTAAGTTTTTTTAATTGAAATAAATCAATTAATCACAATATAAATTTGTTATAAAGTAATAAAAATTGAAAAAAATTAAAAACTAAAATATTGAAATTAAAGTAAGTGTTCATATGTATCAAAAAAAAAAGGTGGTCAAAATAAACTAACCATAAAAACAAATTTAACAAACCTTAATAAAAAAATAATTACAAAACATAAAAGAAAATAATTATTATTTTGTTGACAATTTTTGGTTTTAAGCATTTATTGGTATGATTCAGCATGGAGTTTACTAAATTCTGAATAATCAATTTTGGATTACTTTTCAGTAATTTTGTTACAAATTCTTTGAGCTGGTCCAAATGGTTTATTTCAATTCTACCACAATTGTGGTTTAACCTAGACCACAACGTTCTCTATGTAATTGAGATCTGTACTTTTGGCAAGCCAAGACATGGTTTTAATGTTGTTTTCCTCAAACTATTGCTTGCAAATCTTAGCAGCATGTAGCATTATCTCATAGAAAGATTCCCATATCTTTTGGGAAAATATCACGAAAAGGCATCAAATAATTATCCAATATGTCTAAATATCTTAGAGAATCAAGCCTTTCAACAATTATTTTAAAATGACTAACACCTTCATAGTTCATGCAGGCCCAGATGCCTATACTACTACTACCATGTTTTGTTCTACTCGTAAAACAATTTAGGTCCATTTTGTAATATGGCTTTCTTCTCAGCATTACTTGGTTTTTTTCTTAAATCAACATCAACATTTATTTTATCTCTGAAAAGATCCTTGTGCCACATGCTCATAGACCAAACTTTATGAGGTTTTTCTTGTTTCTAATTTTTTATCAATAGATGTAGTTTTTTGCAAGCAGCTCGCCACATGTTATTGTGTTTTGAATAGCAAAGTCCTTTATGACTTCCAAGACATAAAGGATTTTGAATTGTATTGTATCTTTAATATCGGATGATTATTCTGCTAAAAGTGGCATTTGTTGTGTTAAAATGTTATTCAGTTTCTCTCATTGAGATGTTTTGTTCATTCATTACTATGATTTTAAATTTTGTTATATTATCAACAATTTTTCTAGTCAATTTGATTGTTTTATTGCTGGAATATTGTAGCTAATTAGATACTGATTTTTCTATTTCATTTTAAGCAAATTTTTCAAATATTTATAACAAATTAAATAAAAGTTCTCAAATAATTATAAATAGTTTGCAAATAAGTGCAAAATTTTAATATAAGAAAAATAAAATTTTGAAGGAGGTTTGAAATAACACAGTGGATTGTTAATTTTGGCCATAATATTTATTTTAGATTATGAAATATATGTCAAAAAAAAGCAATATGATTAGCACATTAAAAAATATTTTTATGAATATCTATATTTATTTAAAAGAAAATAGAATGCTCATCAATATATATTTTTTATATTTTTATAGAGTCAAACAATTGATTTAATATCAAAGTCTAATAGTTTAAAAAAAAAAAACATCCTGCATTGTTATTAATGGCCAATACTAAATACATATATATATATATATATATATATATATATATATATATATATATATATATATATATATATATATATATATATATATATATATATATATATATATACATACATACATACATACATGCATATTTATACTAGAGCAATAATAGATGCACTTTTTCTACTTAAACATTTTTTTTTTTCGACCTAAAGCAGCAATTTTATCTGTTTCGATTTAGATATGGTCTCAAAGTTACTTATAATTGGGACCATAGAGAAAACTTTACTTCTTAACAATATTTTTTCCTGCTTCCTACATAGTTTTTATATCATGACTTATATTACTGTTATATTACCCAAAACAAATTTTTAAGCACTCATTTGGCTTAAATTTATCTGGCGTTGTTACAATATTTAGTTTGTCTTATTGCAATATTCCTTAATATATTATTTATCTGGTGATTTTCATATTATTACTGTTAACAAGGAATTTTTATATTATCTCGCATTTATTACTCAGCTTTGTTTTATTTTTTATATGCACAGTTTTCATCTTTTATTATTATTCAGAGAATTTTTTTATATCCTTCATTAAATGTTTACATTTATGCCGGTGACATTTTTAAGATTTTTGTGCCACAATTTTTTTTCCCAATCATATATTGTTCAATTATTGTATAGATTTTGAGTTTCGCAGGTTGCTCATTTTCCTACACTTTTTATTGGTTATTATATTTTGAATGAGGTATCTATGACAGCATTAGAGTTTATTTAAAGCTATTGTTGTTTTGTTGATTTAAAATTTTTTTTTAATGACGTATACTGTTTTCTGATTATCTCGGGCTTGTTTATGCTAATAATACCTATTTGGTTTTATATTTTAAAATAAATTTATTATTATTTTTATGTTTCTATTAGAGTTTTTTACAGTAGATACATCATATCATTAAAAAAATCTTAGTGTTTTACAAATTTGGGTATGGTTGAGTTTTGGCTATTTGTAGTGAGTCCTTTTTTACTGCAGTATGGGTAAGGTGTAAGTCGCGGAGTAAAGCATAAGTGGCGATGATGTTTGTCAGACGGGCTAAACTAGTTATTAATGTTAATCCTCATCGAAACGCCAGTAATAATAGACGCGACTCTGAGTAGATGTTTATTACTTAATCATTACACAAATTATATTTACACATTAGCATTAATGTTTTTTTTTTCCATTCTGAGGTCCATTGTTGTTAGCATACTTTTTATTTTGTAATCAATTATTTGTTTTATAAGTTTTTTGTCTGGTGATATATTTGTTGCATATCTTTGTTCATATTTCGACCCATATTTTGTGTGCATTAAAATAAATGCACACAAAATATGGGTCAGACAAAAAGACAAATAGATGTCGTTTAATACTGAACGAGTGCCGGACATGTATGGGCCTTTACATCAAACATGTATGGTAAAATCATACATATATAGGCTTTTTTCATAAAATCTCGCATGAGCCTTTTACAGCCACCACGCCTCTGAAGATTGGCCCCATTTTAAGACCAAGTTAGGTCGAATGCAGCTTGAAACTGCTGTTTGGGTATTTGATAAAAATTTGTAGAATGATAAACAGGGTATCATTCTACAAATTTGTTACTGAAAGCCTAAAGTATACTGGTATGAAAAACTGTCTTGCAATTACAATTTATAAATTATAACTATAAAAAATTTAGCACTTGTGGTTGATTTTTTTTTGTGTGAAAAATTTCATATTTATCAAGTCAAGTTTGTATCTCTTCAAAAGGCAAAACAAAACAAAAATTTAAAAAGTGACAAATAAAACTATAAATTTATGAATATTTAACAGATATTTGAAAAAATAATTTAAATGAAACATTATCATCACCTGCGTTTATAGGTATTTCAGTTGTAGGAAATAAAAAATCTGAAAGTCTTTAAGAAAAGAACTCAGCAAATAACTGATCAAATAAATTGTTGGTTGTTAAACAGCAGACATATAAGAATGAATATATATATATATATATATATATATATATATATATATATATATATATATATATATATATATATATATATATATATATACATATAACAAAAATATTTTGTTATATGTATATATATATATATATATATATATATATATATACATATATATATATATATATATATATATATATATATATATATATATATATATATATACATATATATATACATATACTGCGGAAAAATAGTTGTTTTCTAATTGTTGTAGTTTTTAAAATTTAAAGTATTTTGTTCAGTAAAAGTAGATATTTTGTTCAATCAAAGTAGATATTTTGTTCAGTCAAACTAGATATTTAGGTAGAAAAAGTCAAAAAAAATGCATTTTTGTTGATATTTTGCTTTCAAGTAAGTTATGTTTAGGTGATTTTATCCTAAGATTTTTTAATGAATAAAATAATATGGTAATTGTAATTTTTATTTTTTACTTTATATATAATAAACTTTTATTAGTATTGATAGCGCTGAACAATGATCTAAATTTTATTGTTATTTCGATTTAATTATTAACTATTAGTTTTGAAACATGAACTTTTTATACTATTATTATATATTATATTTTGTATTATTATTATATTATTATATATATTTCGTATTGTTTTTTGTATTATTATATTATTACTATTATACAATTTATTGTATATTAATCACACTTACACCACAACACACTTTAGCACAATTGAAATTAAAAAAAAAATAAAACAACAGTTTTATTAACAATCACTAACTTTTTTTATTAAAACTTTATATATTTATTAAAATTTTATGTAAATTATATAATTAATTATAAATGTCTAAAATGTCTAAATTGTAAATGTTTAAATTATAAATGTTTAAAATATAACTTTAATTTACTAAAACTTTTTAGTAAATTATTTTAATTTAGTAAATGTTTTTATTTAAATTAAAACTCTATAATTCAAGATTTATTATTTTATTTACTTTTGTAATAGTAAATAAAGTATGGATTTCATAAGTTCTTTCACTTCAGTTGCCATTTATTGCCTTTCAAATTTCACTTTCTTATTTCTAAGACTATTGTAAATAATTTGAAAAGCAATGAAGTCAATTTAAAAAAAAAAAAAAAAAATCATTTGCAAGAAAAACAAGCGGAAACTGTGTCTTTTATTTTTGACTTTTATTTTTGACTACACTTGACCAAACTTTTTAAAAATAAATTTTTTTCTAAAAATAAAATTTTATCTAAAAATTAAATTTTTATTTAAAATTTTTATTTTCAACTGCTGGTTTTGGCTTAATCTTTAATTTGATTAAACCAAAGTTTTGGTTTTGGCAAAACTTGGTAGACCAACAGTATTTAATGCTTTGTACAGTATAGTACAGTATACAATGTAGTATGTAATACAGTATATGTATATATAGAGTATGTATATACTCAGTAATAGTATAAAGTACTTTGAATCAATTATCAAGTTAAAAACTCAATTATCAGAAAATGTGCTTAGAATCAATTATTAAATCAAAGTCAAATAAAAAGTATTGCAACAGAATCTTTTTATGAAATCTAGTTTTATGAAAGAAAAATAACAATAACCATCATTTAATTTAAATCAAAATTACGTTTAAAAAAAAAATACTATATTTTTACTTTTTATTGGCTTTTTTAATTCTATTTTTCACAAACATGCTAAATTTTCACAAAAATGCTAAAAATACTTGGCATTAGTTTTTGATATTTTATGCAATATTTTATTTTGTGCATTTGTATATTTTAGCAAGCGCAGTTTTGATAAAGTTTTGCTTGTTTTTAAATACAAATTCAATATGTGATGATGATAGTGTAGTTGTAGAGTGTTTGCTGCTTAAGGTATAGAAGTATGGTTGCTACTTTAGGTATAGAAGTTTTGCCAATAATACAAGAGGTATGGTGTTTAAATCCCATCCTCTGGTAGTACAGTAGTCAACTTGTTTTTATGCACAACATTCTTTTAAAGTCTTGTCATGTTTTTGGAGTCAGGGTCTAGAAAGGGTTGTAACAGTGTTATAGATAAAGTACTAGACTACTGGATTGTAATGACCCGTTAACTTTGGGGAGGTGAAGATTAAAACTAAAAATAAAATTCTAAAAACTCTTTTTATTTTATAAATTTAAGGTGCCATTGCTTCAATTGCATTTAATGAGGTAAGAATATTGTATTTCTATGTTTCATGCTGAAAGAAATAAGTGCTATAGATTGGATAATTAAAAGTGATTATAGTATTTTAGTATTAAACATTTATTTCAAGGTGTGTGGAGTTGTAGATGGCAATGTCATTCGAGTTTTAACCAGAATAAGAATGATCGGTGCTGATTCATCTTCAAAAGCTGTTAATGATTTTATTTGGTAACTAATTTACAATTATATAAGTTATTTAGTAAGTAAAATTTGTTATAGTTATTGTTAAATATAAATATTTTTTAAATAAAAGGTTAAAGCGACTTTAAACTGGGGTCGGCTGAAAATTACTTTTTTTGAAAATTTCTCCTACTTTTATATAATAACACTGAGTTTGAAGAATTTTTTAAACATTTGATTTTAAACATGTTTTAATAAATATGATTACTAATTTTGAAACTAAAGTTATAAAACTATAAAATATTGCTTCTTTTAAGTATCAGGTTGACATACTTGTAATGAAATATTTTTGGATAATATTAGGAACCCTTTAAATATTCAATGGTCATTTGGAACCCTTTAAAATATTTTTCAACCAAAAAAATTTTTAAATACAGTGTTATTTTATAATATAGAACAAACGTTGGGGTGTAACAGAAAAAATTTTCAAAAAAAGTAATTTTCACCCAACCCTATTTTGAAATAAATTCAGCAACTATGGATGACACAGTTTTACGGCTAGCTTTTAAATATTTTTTAAGTTTTAATTTAACACTTTTCTAATATGGTTTAGACATAATAAATATGAAGTAAGTATATACGTTTATGTATACGTTTAAATAAATAAAGTCTGCTGAATAATTAAGTTAAGATCAAGTTATGTGGTAGTTAATAAATGGTTGGTAGATATTTAGTATGCATTAGTGCTAGTTTATAAATAGTAGGTAGATAGATAGTATGCAGTTGTAGAAAATTATACTGTTGTAGTAGAACATTTTCTTCATAAGCTAGAGATAGGGAGGCCAGCATTTGTGGATTCAAATTCTAACACTTTTTGTTATACACATTGATTAACTAGGTTTTAAATTTACTCTTGTGTTTTATGTATCTTAGAATCTAAAACAAAATGTTGCCATTCTAAAAGTGACCCAAGCAGCCAGTATAGACCCCCAAAGGTATCCATTATCATGTCTGTTGTGAGATTTTGGTTTCATTTTGTTTTTTAGAAAATATTTTAGTACAGTTTTTGTGTCTAAAAACATTCTGTGATATAATAACCTAAAAATTAACAATCGTGATTGATTAATTGTAATTTATCTGAAACATTCTATTTTGTAACCGATTGTTATGAATTTATTTTAATTATTAGCTTTCCAAATAATTTTTTAAAATTGTTTCAATTGCGTGGAATTCTTTCAACCAAGAATTCCTTTCAAAAATAATAAATTTTTTAATCTTGTTTAAACAAAAATATGCTTTTGCAGTTCCTGAAACAAAAGTGTGCCAATTCCAGCATATTTCTAAGCCGGGGTTCTCTTAACAAAAATTAATGTGTGAAAAGTTTTTTTGATTGCATGTTATTTTTCTAAGTAAAGAAAGTTTTTCCTCAGTATTTCCTCAATATTCTCATATCAACAGTCAAATAATGGGCATATTTGAAAAAAAATGCAACAATAAAATTATACAAAAAAAAATTTTTTTTTACAAACTAGATTTTATTTTTAAATTTTGGAAACAAATTTTTTACAATTTTGTTTGTAATGAATAAGTGCAACTTGTACATTTGACTAATTTATTTATCCTGACCTACTCATAATATTTATTTTATATTTGCTTACAATTTAAAGAATAACTGTTATTTTTTTTTATGAAACAGAATTTATGTTCATTAATGAAACTATCAGAAATATGCAGACAAAGTTGCTTTGTCTGCGTATTTTGGATCATGATGTAACTATTACCTAATTAACTAAATTAAAAAAGGTGATTGATTAAATATTAAACTTTTACAGCAATTATTTAATTAAAAAAAATATTTAAATAAAATTAATTTTTTTTTCCTTACTCTGTGTGAAGGTAACTTTTTATGTAAGACCATCACTAGGTTCTGCTTGCTCTTGCTTTCTTCTTTTTATAACACTCTTTAAAGTTTTTTAAGTATCTTTGGAAGAAGTGACATCCTACCTAAGTTTTCTTATGAATTTTCCATTACCAGCAATTTATTGCAAGCGTTTGATCTGAAAGGTTTCACTAATAGATTTTAGTCAAGAGCAAACTCTATAAATGTTCAGATAAGCCCATATCAATATCAAATTGATTTAATAAACTAAAAAAATAGAAAAATTATTTCACCATTTAGATCACTATCTAATGAACTAATAAAAAAATGCTGGAAAAATATGTTTTTTTATATTTATATTTTTACATATTTATATTTATTATCCATTTATGTTTATTAATATTATTAGTTAATTCAGCTCTTACAGATCATTTAAATTTGGAAAATTTAGAAAGGAAACATAGTTACCAAATAAAGAATCACTAGTGCAACGCATAAAAAAAGCTTATTTTCTTAAAAAAAGCTTTTATCAAAAAAATCACATACAGTCAGAGAAATAAGTATCTGAACAAAACATTTTATTGTGAAAAAAAAAGACTTTGCAAACAAAGTTTTGAAATTAATTATTTAAAAAAAATTTTTTTTAATCAATCATGAAATGATTGATTAAATAATCATGTAATCAGAAATGAATTTGTTTAATAACGAGTAACTTTAAACATTTGACCAATATTTTTCAAATTTATTTGATTTACCATTGATACCATTCAGCTATTCAGCTCAGCCCAATTTGGTTATTGACTTGTTCAAGCAAGGTAAAACATTAGCAAGATAAACTACAAATAAAGCAACTGAACAGAAACCATCAGCAATCTGATTAATGAAAATGAAAATCTGCCAAGATCTGGAACTTATTGTAAAAAACGTTCAGAATTGATCCACAAAAATGTCAAGATAGTGCAAAAAATGGTTATTATCAGCACCAAAAGCGTCAAGCATTCTTGAAAAAAGATTTTAGAATACGAGTCAGCTCATGTACTATTTGAAATTGATTTAAAGCAATATAAACCATTATATTGTTAATATAATGGTTATAACAATCACGATGATAACCATTCAGAAGAGGGTGCCGACAAGCAGCCAGATGAACTATGAACTGGTCTGATAACAATAATAAAATGGACAAGTTTTTTATAATATTTTATATTTTCATTGAAATCCGAGATAAACATCAGTAGTGAAAAATTCAGTTAATAATAATATCTCTATTTTAATTACAGTATAACATTAAATTGAAAAATGATAAGTATCATAAAGAAACAGAGCAAAAGTACAAAGGTCTAGAACTTAGGTTACTCATTTCAAAGCATCTAAATTTTGAGACATTTTAGGTAATTTACTTCATAATACTTTAGCTTTGAAATCAAAAATATTAACTATTTAGGCGTAATTAAGGAAAAGAAGAAGTCTATTTTTAGTTAGTTAATAGAAGTTATTCTGGTTAAAACTACAGGATATTCCTATGGATAAAATTACAAGGATAATCCATAAATTATGTCACGCTTTAGGACACATAGCGCATATATGACATTACTCATACGGAACTTGTTACTAAAGAGTTACATTGCTGTGACAAGGGGGGGATGGGGGCTAAAATTCTGTGACATAATTTGTGGACGACCCCTATATACAGCACAACTTTTACCTCAATTACTTGGTTTTTGGGACCGTAAAAAATTCCCATACTCATTTTTCATTGAATTTATTAGCAAAGTTTATATGTTTTTTTTTTTTTTTTTCACTTTTTACAAAAAAAAATTAAGTTTTACGAAAAAAGTAAATAATTGCTAATTAGCATTATAATAAAATGATTGTCTTCTTCATATTAAGTATTCAGTATAAATAGCTGTGCACAAGAGTTAATAACATTATTGTGTAACTTTATTGTTAATTAATTAAAATTAGCAGTAATCAAAATGATTTTAATCAGCAGAGAAATAAGATGTAAATTTTTTTTAATGTTGTTAACTTTAAAGATTGAAATTCTTATTTTGTTACTATTCAAATTTGTTGTACGTAATTAAGAAATTTCCTCTTAGCTTTTCTTCACATATGCAAATTCATTGCAATGAATTTGCAAATGTCAAGAAAAAATGAATTATTTTTAAATAAATTTAAAATTATCAATAGTGCTTTTAGATTTTTTTCTAATAATGTAGAAATCAGACGAAGCATATATTTGAAAATATTTTTTTAGTAAACTTCGTTTTATGTAACATAAGTTACTGTTATAGTAGCATTTCACAAAATGATTTCTTTTAGTATTAAGTATTCAGTTTAAACTTTTTTAATAATCTATACGAATTGTTTTAATATTACCAAAAAAATAATTCAAAATTAAATTACTTGCGGTAGTGGTGTAGTGGTAGAGCGCTCGCTTCATAAACGAGTGGTTCCGAGTTCGATCCCCACCACGTCCCTGGTAGTACCGCGCTCAACTCGTTTCTCCGCGCAGCGGCCTTGTTCGTCAAGGTTCGTGTTTCGGAGTTATAGAGTTGAGAGAGGGTTATAGCCACATAATAAGTAGCCTCCTCGTCTGTAGTGGCCTTCTCGGCCTTGAGGAGGTGAAGTAAAATAAAAAATAAAAAAAAAAACTTGAATGGTATCAAACTCCTTTTTTTATTGAATGGAAATATGCATGTGAGAATTTTTTAAACTATTAACATTATCTGGTATTTTAAAAGTTATTTATTTATGTTTCCATTTAAAAATGCTTTGATTTTATTTAAAATTATTGTTTTAAAAGGAATACAAATTCACTAATTTTCAAACATTCATTATTTTTGTATATATAAAACTCAGTCATAAAGATTTATTACTGAGATAAAAATTTAAACAAAGAAAAAAATAAAATTTTTGACCATCTAAAAAAGCAATTGACTGTCTTGAATGTCATGATAGCATAAAATGAATTCTTTTTAAAATAACATATTTTTTATTCTTAACGTGTTTTTTAATATAATTATTACATTTTCAAAAGATTTTATTTTAAAATAAAAACTTTGGAATAAACATTAAGATTTTTTTTACTTTTTCAGGGAAGTATTAACAGATAAAAACGTATACATAATAAACCAATAAACATCTTGGTAAATAACCAATTAATATAATTAAAATAAACTAAACTGGTAGTTTATGTAGATAAGTTAATTATATAATTGGAAGTTTATTTATTAAGTGAGGGATTTTTCTATTTAATGTAGAGCACTTAGGCTTACAGCCTGCGCAAAAAACAGGCTTTACAGCCTGCGCAAAAAACTGGCTTTACAGCCTGCACAAAATAATTTGTTGGTAGAAACAGATAGTTTCATTTTCATATTAATATGTTTTAAATTTTTGTGGAAATTGATTATTTTGTAAAACAAAAAATAGTTTTTTATGTCTTCATCAAATCCCGCGGAATTATTTTAATTTTGATCAATCAAACAACATATAAGACTAAACTTTTAGGATGCCAGAACAAATTTTTTTTTAAATATTTTATAAAAGTATAATATATTTTGTACACAATATTGGTACATAATTAGAGGAACAATTATTCACTTATGTTTTCTCATGAAAACCGATGAAAACGTTAGCTAAAGACGGGCGCTAATAGAGAACCCATTTCAATGTCATCTGTTTGATCCTTATATGTTCTGTCAAATAGAAAATAAGAACCAAAAGTGGAAAAATGAAGTAATTTTTTAAACTGAGTTTTTTAAAGTTTTAAAAAATTTTTTAAAGTTTTAAAAAATAAATAAGTTTAAGTGATTTTAAGTGGAATAATGATAAATTAATTAGTTACGTTAATCTGCTTTCTTCAACAAAGAAATCAAGTGTTAAGTGAATGTAACTGTTGAGGTAAATGTGGAGATTTTCCGGGAAATTTTTCTTAAAATTTCCCGGAAATTTTCAAAACTTTTTATAGCAATAAACTTCATAGTTATTATATAGTTTTATAAAATTCATTTCTTTATTTCGAAAATATGTGTTTTATCATCGTTGTATTTGGGTATTCTTTGAATATTTCAACAAAAAATATTAAATAATAAAGACCTACATGCAAAAATATTAAATAATAAAATTTTTATAGTCAATTTAAGAATCACACATTTTTTTAAAAAAAGCTCTTAAGTTGTTAATCTTACTTACATTATTTTTGTATAACAACAAAAAGTAGATGTTTTCAGCGTTAGCTTGTCTTTTGAGCTTGTGTATAACATATTTCTAGCTTTTACTTAAGAAACATGTCAAGAATAAAATATACTTGTTACTTTTAAATAACTGATTTTTATTAGGGAGTTAGCAAACACTATTGTTGATGAAGAGAGACCAGGTGATTTTAATCAAGGTATGATGGAGTTGGGTGCTACTGTTTGTACACCAAAATCGCCACAATGCTCTCAGTGCCCATTATCAACTCTCTGTATGTCCTACAAAAAAGTAAGAAAACTACTGTTACTACTTGGAATCTTTTTGTTTTTATTTTTGTAATGAACACTTTTTAAGTTTTTTAAAATTTTATTTTAAATAAAATGAAAATATTTACCTTTAACTATTTATTAAATAAATTAGATTAACAGTTATGTTGCAATAAATTTATTTAACTTAAAAAGTTATGTTGCAATAAATTTATTTAACTTAAAAAGTTATGTTGCAATAAATTTATTTAACTTAAAAAGTTATATGTTGCAATAACCTAGTTAACTTGAAAATGTTTGTAAAAAAATGACTGTTGAAAAAAAAAAAAGTTGCATTATATACTGTACTGTTGTATTCAGTTAACTTGAAAAAAATCAATATTCTTCAACTAAAATTTCTTGTTTTTGTCTTCACTTGTCTGTTTATAACTACCATCAAATACAACTTAAAAAAAGGTTTGTCCAGCATTACTGAATCTCAACTTCTTCCTCTAAATGTTTCAATGTCATTTTTTTTTCTTATAAAGATCTTCAAAGCTTCGTTCTGAGGCTTTAAAATTTTTCAAATTTTGGCCTCAAAAATAAATACAAAAAATATTTATTATATCACATAAATTGCTTTTAATAATTGTAATAAGTAAAAGAAACCTTAAATTTAAAGTCTAAATTAAAATCGTGACAGTCAGATGGGAATTTGCAATCTTGAAATTCTTTAATTAAAAAAATGATTTTCAAGTTTAAAAAAAAATTGCTTTTATAATTAAATAGTTTTTTTAATTAAAACATTTTATCATTAAATCTATTTAGTTTTGAATTTGTTTGCTTATTTCAGACCACTAGGTTTATTTAATTGCTATGTAAACCATACGATTGAAATGTTGAAATCTCTAGTTTGTTATTTGACTTTTTTAATGTGATCAAAATTACTTCATTATGATAAAAAATTCACGTTTTTCAAAACAAAAGTTAAATATGAATTTCAAGTCAATTAAGCAAAATGAATTTTTAGTTAAAATGAATTTCTAGTTTTACAAATTTTTATTTTTAACTTGGAATTAATTATAATATCAATAAAGTATTTAATTCTTGGATAATTGTTCAATTACTTAACATTATAAAAATATTTTTCAACACAAAATATTGTTTAGCAATTAACTGTCGGGCGATAAAAATTATCCATTGAGTTTTCTACCATTACAAAAATTTTCCATTAATACTTTTTTTTTCTACTTTCTCCTAAATATTCAACTTTAACACAGTGGAATATTTAAGGTTATTAATAAATTTAAGCAAAGCTATTATGGCTTTTATCAATTAGATAAACAATAAAAAGTAGTTTGAAATCATAACAAAATATTTAAAATAATTGGGCAAGTTTTTTTTTTTTTTTTCTTGTTTTTTTTTCTTTTTTGCCCAAAGACACTTCTGTATACACAACATACTAAAGGGAGGTTGAAAAAGAAAACACCATACAACAATATGTAAAAAGTGTTAAACAATTAAAACATTAAATGTGTAAAGAGTAAAATTGTACAAGGTAAAAAAGAAACCAATTCAAACAAAAACAAATTAGTATATACAAATACACAAAAAATAAAAAAAATTAAGCCTACTATAAAGGTAAAATGAAGCATGAATTAACAAATTAAAAAAAAGAACAATAAAAAAACATTCTGATTTGTTATTGCTGAATTCCTTTTTGTCTTTCATTTTATTGTAGTTTGTTCAATGTTTCAATGCAGCAAGAGCTCTAGTGGAGGAAAAAGGTTTTATTATTGAGCTTTTTATTTTTATCTTGCACTGCTCAACATTGGATTGGAACTTAACAGAACTCTATTTAGGATATCCCTATTGCAATTTTCTCTCAAAGACTGTCTCAAGCAATACTGTCTATAACCATAGAAGTGCTTATTTTGAGCCTCAGCTGGCTCATCCAATAATTGAACAATAGGCAGTATTTAAATTATAGCTTTCTAGTATAGGCAGTATAGCTTAGTCAATTATTGTGGCACCATGTCTAAATAACGCCCTATAAATAAAATTTCGGACAAATTTTAATTGCATCTATTATGTAATTTATTTCATGCACGCAAAAAACCTTTATACTTATTTGAAAGAGTATTTTATAATCTATTTAAATTTAATTTAATTAAGTTAAAAATATTATTTAAATATTGAAAATAAAATGGTCAAAGTAAAGGACTTCTAAAAAATGATGGAAATTTTTTTCCAAAAAATTTGAGAAAAAGGTAAAGTGTTTGTTGCTAAGCAGTTTATGGAATGGGGTTTACCCAGATCAACTGCTTACGATAAAATTGTAAAATTGGAGAATGGATCTTTAAAAAGAAAAGTTAGAAGTGGTCGAATTGCTAAGGTAGCTACTAAAAAAAATATTCCAAAGATTGCTGCATTTTTTAAAAATAAGTCAGGGTGCTCCCAAAATAAAGTAGCTCAAGTTTTTAACTGTAGTCAAACTCGAATTTCCCAAGTATTAAAAACAATGACTAACATTTTACTATTTATTTTAGCTATTTTACCTTAAACCATAGCACATTAGCGGTAATGATAAGTTTTATGCTGCTGATCCTTCTCAATGTTCTGACAAAGTAAGATACAATTTGCGTAAAATTTCTTGTTGCATCAGCCCCCGTGGAATAAGCCCTCTTTATATTCATCACAGTAAGCAGGCAATCAACCAGAACACTTACAAAAAGATACTAGAAAAAGCTTTACTTCCTCTAGTATCAGAATATTATAAAAAAGACAATAAGTTTATTTTCTGGCCTGATCTAGTTTGATCACTTTACGCATAGTCAGTCATTGACTTTTTAAAATTGAAAAAAATCAAAGTTGTACCCAAAGATATAAACCCAGCTAACATTCCAGAAGCAAGACCAATTGAAAACTTTTGGGGTGATTTAAAACTGCTAGTGTACGAGAATAATTGGAGAGTTAAGAATTTGGAAGAGCTTGAAGCAAGAATTAGATGTTGCTATTCAAAGATGAATAAAGAAATTTTCCTTGCTCAAATAAAATATCTTTCAAAAAAACTTTATAATATTGCTAAATATGGTATTTGAAATAATAATTTTAATATATTTATAAACTACATATACTAACATATTATCAGTTGAAATATTAAATAATAAAACTTATTAGTTCTTAAAATAATAATTTTTAAATTTTGTCCAAAATTTTATTTATGAGGTGTTATCTTGTGCATCTGTACGCTGAATGTTCTTTGTTGAAAATAGTTGTTGCTGCTCTTTTGACATTTACAAGAAGTTCCGTCAACAACTAATTTCAACTGAGGGGGTAGTACAGTAATTAAAATTGAAAAAATCATTTTTTTAAAAATTCATTTTTATATCAATAAAATCATAGTAGATTCCTAATTTTTTCTTGGATTGCAAAAAAAACTTTGGGATCTACATCTAATCTTTGTTTAAAATGATTCAGTATTAAGTTTTTTCAATAGCAACACTTTGATTTTTATATTGCTACGCATTTTTGCAATGAAATCTTGAGACATTTGATATCATTTATAAATTTCAATGTAAAATTCTGCTGTCAGTTCTACAAACTTATCAAGTTTTTGAGCATCTATTTTATATCCACTTGATAAGTTTCAAAACAGATACTATAATTTTTATTAAGTCTAATATCAACTTCTGTGATGCGAGGTTTGAGGGTCTGAGACAAATCTTCTTGATATATTCCCATTGTTAGTATTCCCAAAAACAGTATATCAACCAGCAGCCCCAAGGGTGCTTTATTTGTATAATGCTACCAAAATTTTTTAATATTTCAGTTTTTATTAAATTTTATTTGATTATCTTAGGGAATTTTTTTATTTGTTATACCTTTAGTTTCATGGATAAATCAAATTTGTATTAGGCAACAATATCTTGTAGAAGAGGGAACTGGGTTTTGCCAAATAATGTTCTGGCCACCAATATGACATATGAGTTGTGTAGGCATAAATTAAAAGATATTGTGATAACATCTCTAATTTGCTTCTATCTTCTTCATTTAAGGTTTCCAACACTTCATTTGAATATTCACACAAGCCTCTAAATTTGTGATATTAAATATCTTGTAATTTTATTTCACAACATGTTTCTGAAATTGACTTTTGTAGCAGATAACATCGTTTATTTGCTTCCTCTAAAAAGGAATAACATAGATAAATATTTTTGTTGGCAGAATGAACTATTTCCTTGTCATATTTTGTTGTCATATTTCCATCAAAATTGACAATGCTTCTGATGGTGTATTTTTTTAATAATATTCCTCTCAATGGAAGTAAAACTTTCTCTCTTTTTTTTTTTTTTTTTTTTGCTTTTTCTGGTGAACAAATAGTATCTTTCATTATTCTAGATGCATCACAATGTCCTGCAGCACGCTGACTCTGATTTGGGCAGCATAGGTTAGTTGTTTGGAAGATATTTGCTTCTTAAAGTTAAAGTTCGCTAAAGTTTTTACTCCTCTTGCTTGGCAAACTTAAAATCTGTTGATTATCAGCCAGGTCTTTTCATTTTCCAGGCAGGTAGACTTATGGTATCATTGAGTTGTGTTTCATTTTTCTTCAAAAAGCATTCTTCTATGTTTTTAGTAACTATCCATTTTTGTTTTAAGTGAAACTTGAAAGTCTATAAGGCATTTTTTTAGTGAACTTTTTTTCGTTTTCAGTACATTTTGAAATAATTTTGAGATGATTTTCTAAAAACATTAATTTTTCATCAATTTTTTTCTCTACACATCGTTTCAAGACCTTGTTGAGTCCTTTTCTAATCATCTCTTTCATGATTGGTTAAGATTCTAATAATAAAGAAAAATGTTTTTATTCAAAAAACTTTTTTCATTATTTTTAATTTAAAATTAAATTTTCAAAAAAGGGAAGTAAGTGGGACTTTTTTCTTCAAAAAAAATCAGAATAGCTAATGTTTAAGTTATGTATAAAATCTTAACTCTGCTTTACTCATATACAAAAAACTTTTGAGTATTTACAAAAAAAATTTTTTGAGTATTTACAAAAAAAAAACCTAACATTTTTAGTCTTGAATGTATATGAAAAAAATATATCATATAAAATAAAGAAATATATTTATTTTGTATGTACCTTCTTATTTTATGTTATTTGGATATTCATTCATTCATTCTTCTTATTTTATGTTATTTGGATATTCATTCATTCATTGTGATTAGTTGAAGGTTTTAGAGCAAACTCAAAAAATACTTTAAAAAATTGTGTTTGACTGGAAGTATCAAAAATAAATACAAGCAGCTGCTGCAAAGTTTGAGTCCCATATTAGTGTTGTTACTGGAAAGGTACTTATTTAGTGATTAGCGTTTATTAAGCTTTCATGAGGTATAGACTTTTACAAAGTTTTCTTAATCAACTTGTAATAGACTTTTGATTGACTTTACCTTAAAATACTTCAATCAATTTTATTTAAAATTTATCATTATTACATTTTTTTAGCAGTAATGTCAATGCTGATAAAAACCATCTTATTTTATAATGCAACCTAATGCTAGTTAGTTTACTCTCAGTTGCACAGCATTATAAAACATAGTATTTAATATATTATGGGCCCTTAAATTGAGCATATGGGTAAAATCTCACAAAAATAGGCCTTTTTAGAAAAATTTCAAATGGGTTTTTTGGAGCCAGCACACCACTGATCTCAATCAGGTTTTTTTTTTAAGTTTTTAAATTTTCAAGTAACTGAATCTGATTGCGTTTAAGAAACAATTGAGAAAATTATCAAATTATGAGTTTTACAAATTACAAAAATAAATTATAACAGTTAAATAAAAAATTTTTGCAAAACTTTTTAGACAAAAGTTTTGAAACAGTATCATACTCTGCAATTAAATCAAGTTTTTGTAAACAAAATATTTTTGAAATTTGATAATTAAATTTCAAAAAAAAAAAAATTATTTTAAAAGCAGTTAACTCATAAATCATTGCCAAAATTATTGTGGAACTTTATAATTCGATTACCAAAATGATGGAAAAGACTATAGAATGTTCAAACAAATTCTATACAAAACTGTTGAGATTTAATGCCATGTTAAATCTTTTCCAGACAAATCAAGAAAGTTAAGTATACTTGCTTACTTGTTCAATTCTAATTTTGCTTTGAATAAGTTTTGATTTTTAATTTCTATTATTTCAATTGATAATTAGTTTCAAAAATTTACTGTACAATTTCTAAAAAAAACATCACAATTTTGGTTAAAATATTTTTTATATTATATTTATTTCATTTTTAAAATTAGAAACTGACCTATAATTTGAAACTTTATTCTACTTCCATTTTCAAACAACAGCATTATGTTTGTTAACTTCCGTAAGTTAGACATTGCACCTTCATGGAAAACATTAAGTTTAATAGACTAGAAAATACATTTACACATTCTTTTAGTACGAAAGAATTAATCACATCTTCAATTAATGTTAAATAATTGTTAATTTTATGTTTTCTTTTTATATAATTATGCAGCAGTTTTTATTTAATTATGCAGCAGTTTCAGATCTGATTTTACTTTTTTGGTTTATTACATTTTTTTATAGTATCCATTGATAAAGACAATATATAATGTCCAGAGTTTAATTTTCATTTTAATATCATTGAAAAATAACAATAAATTGGTAATTGAAAAGCTCACAACAAACCTTTTTGTTTTTGTTCAAGTAAATAATATTCCAATTTATTGAATATATATATATATATATATATATATATATATATATATATATATATATATATATATATATATATATATATATATATATATATATATATATATATAGTTTAATATCTCATTATAATTTCCAAATTTAAAGATGCTTACATATGTTTCACTTATAATGTTTTGCTTTGTTTTTATATGATGTTTCTGATTTTTTTTTACCTAAAGTGCACTATGTAAGATCCTTTCGACTCTATTGGCTTTACTATTATTAGCTCAAGTATATTTGTTTCATGAAAAATAAAAATGTTGGATTTACAATATGTTGATTTAAAAAGCATTCAAGATAATTTACAAATTTTTCAGCTTGAGTGTTGTAATTAAAATCACTTGTAATATTAAAATCTGTAAAGATTTTTTTTTCAATAAATTTGCTTGTATTTTTTATAATATTTACAATTTTATCATTAGTAAATTCATTTAAATTCAGTGGCCTGTAAATACAACCCTGACTAATCAAAAGAAAACTCAAAATTTAGACAAGCCCAAACTTGTTAATGACAATGTTACATTATTTTAATTGTAATATAATTATACTACCGAATTTCAGTAATGTTGATTAAATCTAGAAAATATGCCTTGATTGGGTAATGCAATTCATTTTTTTTTATTATTCAAGAATGTGGATTTAGTATAAAAATAACTTCAATTAGATTTTAAGTCTTTTCTTGTGGTTTATGTACTAAAAATAAAAATATTACTTTATAAAATTATTTTTCTTTATTTAGTTTTTATTCTACTTCCTCTGTTAAAAAGTTAATTTTTTTCTTTTTTAAAAAGATCTTTCTAGCTGCCAAAAAAGTCAATTTAAGCTGTTAAAATAAAATATTATTGCAAATAATAATAGACAGTTTATATTTGTCTCAACGACCCTGGACTATGGTTTCTACATCATAGTAACCTCTATGGCATAGAAACCTCTTGACTTCGCCAAAGTCTTAAATAATACTTGTTTAAATATGTTTGAAAACAAGTAGTTTATAGACAGTTGTTTAATTAGATAAATTCATTCCTACAAGACAGAATGCAATCACAAAATTATGTTGTAATCACAAAAACATGCAATAAATTGAGGTTAAAAAATAAGTTGCTACCATAATATATAACTGTTTTCTTAGCACTCATCAGCAGAATTATAGCTGCATATATTTATTATTATACCAAATAAGAGGCCATAAACATGCACACTTGTATAGTTTATTATCATTAAGGTAACTTCCAAAGGAATAAAATGTTCAAAAGATGGTAACATTCCAAACAAGAAAGAAGAAATAATAGATATTGAAAATAGTATGTTAAAAATTATTTTTTTAGTTTAGTTGTTTAAAATAGTTTAATAATATTACAAGTCTACTAAAATAATTTTTTAGTCCAATCCTGTAAATTCTGTTTGGCTGACAGTACTCCATGGGACTCAAAGTAAGTTTTTAAATATGTAATTGTCTTGTTTTTAGTGGTTATTTGCATGAATAGAAAAACCTTTTAGTTTTTTTTTCAGTTTGTTTAGTAATTTGGTTAAAATGCAGGTGTATTTGTTCTTGAATTCACAAACATATTGAAGTGCTACTAATATTAGTTTATTGCTTTTATCTCAGACTATCAACTGCAACAAGCACTTTTACAATAAACTTGAAAATTGAGACCAATACTTTTATAAAACCATATCTTACAGACAGAAGGGTTTGAAAACCTAAACTTTATGTTTTGTTATTATTAAATTTCCTTTAATTCTTCAATAAAACCTAATTTTAAACTTTATGGATGTTTGTTTGTGATATTTGAAACACTTCTGGCTTCGAAAAGTTTTTTATGTTTGTGACTTTTGGCAGTGGAAATTTTTGAAAAATGTTTTTGTTGTATTTAGTCAAATACTTAAAATTTTCTCCTGCAAACATTACTAAAAGATTATTAAAAGATTTTATTTTTTGCTTTAAAATGATCCCAAATCAAGAAGTGAAAGTAAGGTTTGGGTTGTCTAGAAAATGAGTCTCAAAATTAATTATTTGATTAAGAAATTAAGAAAACAAAAAATTTAACTTTCAGAGTAATTTGGATTGTCTGGAAAATTAGTTAAAGAGTTAACTGTCTGAGTAAGAGATTAAGAAATTACATTTACATGAGCTTTATTTCCATACATGAGCTTTAGTGCCATGCAGGTTCAGTGGTGTTAGAGCCAAGTTATTCAGTGAATATTAAAGTAACCAATAACAAAAATATTGGCAGAGGAATAATGAGATAGGACATGGTCAATTTGATCAAAAACAACATTGAAAAATGTATATATATATATATATATACATACATACATACATACATACATACATACATACATACATACATACATACATACATACATACATACATACATACATACATACATACATACATACATACATACATACATACATACATACATACATACATACATACATACATACATACATACATACATACATACATGCATACATACATACATACATACATACATACATACATACATACATACATACATACATACATACATACATACATATATATATATATATATATATATATATATATATATATATATATATATATATATATAAAACTGGTAGCACTCTTCCTGAATGATTTTTCATAACATTTATAAAAGTTATCAAATCGAAAACAGTTTTTCCGCAAGACCAAGAGCAACTTTAAAAAATTATTTTAGTATTACAACTTTTTAATACTAATTTGAATTGGTTTAATATAAAAATCTTTGATTTGTTGAATATATAATGTATGTATGTATGTATGTATGTATGTATGTATGTATGTATGTATGTATGTATGTCATCTTAAAAAAATGTGTTGTGCCTACTACAATTAAGGTTACTCTTATTTATTGATGCATTGAACAACATTTAATAATCAATTTTACTTAAAGACCAATATATATAAAGTTATTATTATTTTTTAGATAAAAGTTTTACTTTTAAATCACATTATCAATATTAACCCATTTTATTCTTATAAAAGTAGTTATTTTTATCTTTATTTTAATCCATATTATCCTTTGAAAAATTATTTATATTTTAGATTAGGAGTAATGAATTTTCCAAGAAAGAACAAAAATAAATCTCCATTGGCTGAAGAGGTTTTTAAAATTTTTTTTAAAAATTTTTTTTTAATATTTCTTGTTTTTAGTAAATTTTGGTAAAATAAAAGTTTACTAAAAACAAAATTTTTCAAAACAATAAACCCTTAATACTTACCATTTTTGTTGCATGAATTTTTATTATAAACTAAAACATTTAGTTTTTATTTACCTTTTCTCTTCTTTTACAGTTTAAAATGTAAACATATGGTTTTAGGCTTAGCTGTTAAAACTATTTTAAAAAATACGACACAAAAGTGAGTTAAAAATAGTTAATATAAATTAAAAAATAAACTTTTCCTAAAAATAGATTATTATATTTTTGTTTGTGACAATTTAGTTTTATTTATCAAATAATTTTAAACTTAATGACTGTAAAAGGTCTTGAAACTATGCTTGTTATCTGAGTTGTGATGAATTCTGTAGCAACTTTTGTTTTGTGGATTTTCGTGACTATGGAGAGATGATTGCATAAAAAATAGTAATTTTTCAACTTTGATATCGTTTTTATTGCTAGAACAGTGTTCAGTTAACTGTGATTCTAGGACCCTAATGTTTATTAATTGCTTTATCATCAGCTCTGAATACAAGTATCGTTTCGAAAAATTATATATAGGTATCACATTATTTAATAAATATAGATTTAAAGATATGTAAATATAAAAAATTATTTTTATATAACATTACAATAAAACATTTAACCTCAAATTTTTTCATTAACATTATGTTAAGTATACATAAGTTAAATAATTAGATTTTTATATATAATTTTGATAAATTATTAATTATGAGCTGACGTTAAATTGAATTTTATTACTAGCTAGGATTCTAGAATTCTAGGATGTCTGTTACAATAAAAATCTTTTGTTACTCTCTACCAGTCTAAAATTTTTTTAATTGTCTTAAATGTTGTTTTTAATTTTTACCATTGAAGAACTTCAGTTCATTCTAGTCTTTTTGTTCCTTGACAATTAAATTGAATTTTTAAAAGGAGAGGGGGGTAAATAAGTTCATGATATTTTAAACAAGTTAAGTTTTACATAGATTTTTTTTCTATTTTTTATTCCTGAGATCTTGATGCTAGTTTTACTTTGCTTCCAACAAGGCTGCAAGTAACCACTAATTAGTGTTGGAAGTTACTGGAAGAGAAAAGATGAAGATTGTAGAGCAAGATAATGGTTGACAGACGACTTAAAAGATTGCAAATTATATGAATCAAGAAAGCAAGATGAAGGAAGCGAATTCCAAATAACTGATGTTCGAGGAAAAAAACTAGACGAGTAAAAGTTTTTGGAGCACTTAGGAACAGTAACAGAAAAAGGATGAGACTTAATTGAATGACGAGTAACACAAGAATGAATTTTAGTAGCTGGCACAAGAGACGCTAGCTCTTTAGAGCAGTGCCCATTATAGTATTTATAGAAAAGAGAAAGAGAAGCAACATTATGACAATGTGACAGAGGTTGAAGGTTGGCTGCAAGAGCAGGTCCAACTATGTTTACAATGCATTTTTGCACCTTGTCTAAAAGAGAAAGGGCATCATTAGAAGATCCGCCCCAGATATGGCAACAGTATTCCATACAAGGCCGGATTTAAGATTTATAGAGATAGAGAATAGAATCCAGAGTAAGAAAGTGACGAGCTCAATAAAGAGAAGCAACTTTAGCAGATGCTAATTTTGCAACGGATTTGATATAAGGTTTCCAAGAAAGATCAGAAGTGAGAGTTAATCCTAGAAGATGAAGGGTAGGAGACGCATTGAGTACATTACCGTTCATAAATATAGGAAGGTCTAAATTATTGCGATAACAATTGGCTGAAAAAATTGAGTTTTATCTGAATTAAAGTTCACCAGCCACAGTGAGCCCCGTGCTGTTGCATAAGTGAGATCCTTTTCAAGCTCAAATGCCCCCTGCAAGCAATCAGATTGAATTGGCTTCTTATCGTGACAAGAATAAATGGTAGTATCATCAGCGAACAATGCCACCTTAGATGTGAGAATATTTGGAAGATCGTTAATGTAAATTAAAAAGAGTATAGGGCCAAGGATTGAACCCTGAAAAGAACCCCTGAGGTTACAGAATAAGAAGAAGGAACCCCTGAGGTTACAGAATAAGAAGAAGAGTGCTCTCCATCAAGGACAACTTTTATACTACGATTGGAAAGAAAGGATTCAATAATCTTAAAGATGTCTCCAGATACACCGTAAGAAGAAAGCTTATGGAGAAGACCAGCATACCAAACTTTATCAAACGCTTTAGAAATGTCAAGAGCAATGGCCTTAACCTCTCCACCTTTATCTAATGCGCAATAAAACTTATCAGTTATTACTGACAGCAAATCAGCCGTAGAACAAGAAGATCGAAGTCCATGTTGATGATCAGAAAGTAGGTTATGAGATTCGAGATGAGAGATTATGTGTTTGTTAATTAAAGATTCAAAAACCTTGCCTATGTAGAAAGAAGACTAATGGGATGGTAGTTAGACGAATCAAATCGCTCTCCAGAATTTTTAAAAATAGGGATAACAGATGCTGCTTTCCAGCAAGCTGGAAAACAAGACTCTGATAAGCACTTGTTGAATAGTTTTGAAAGGATAGACAACAGCTCCGGAGAACACTTCTGCAAGACTATAACGGGTATGTTGTCCGGGCCGCAAGCTGTAGAAGAGTCTAAGCAGGAAATCACTTTAGATACAGAAGCTGGAGTGATACGGATGTCGAGCAATGGATCAACCTGTTTGACGGCTATATCAGGTAGAACGCAACTAGTGTAATCAAGAGATGATATTGATGAAAAGTTCTTGGCAAACAATTCAGCTTTGTTTTTAGGTTAGGTGACAAAGTCTGAACCGTACAAAAGAGGTGGAATTACAGACTTGCCCTTATTATTGATACTATTAAAGATTCTCCAGAAGTCACGAGAGCCTAATTTTTGTGATGAAATACGAGATTTCATGATCTGAAAATAGCGGGCTTTGGCGTTAGACAACCTTTTTACAATGATTCCTAGCAGTAATAAACAGACGTCTGTTTTCTGGGGAATTGTTTTGCTGGTAGATATGGAAGTAATGGTTTCGATTGGCAATTGCAGCAGCACAATGTGAGGAAAACCATGGAGAGGAGTGAGGCTTGACCTGGAATCGTCGAGAGGGAATAAAGGATTCCATGCCAGCCTGAATCCACGAAGTTATGTAAGAAGCACATTTGTCAACAGGAAGATGAAAGATTTCTACCCAGGGGCCATCACAAAGAAAATCACGGAAAGAGTCCCAGTCAGCTTTAAGGTAGTTGTAAGATGTACGATGATAGGGGGATTCTGATGGTAAAGAAGAATGAAATAATAGTTTTAGAGAGTTCAAACCGTGATCAGATGCACCTAAGGGTGAGTGTGAAGAAACTGAGCACCGACTAGGATCAGAAACAAGACATAAGTCAAGTAGAGAAGGTAAATGATTTGGGTTGTCTGGAAAGCGAGTTGGAAAGTTGACTATTTGAGTAAGGGATTGAGAAAGGCAAAAGTTGTGGGCCTTAATGCCTGCAGAGTCACTGACACTAGAGCCAAGCCATTCAGTGTGATGAACATTAAAGTCACCGACAATAACAATATTGGCTGATGGATAAAGAATGAGGGCTCGGTCAATATAATCAGAAATAACATCAAGAAGAGTGCAGTCATGAGATAAAGGAGAGCGATATAGAACAAAGAGAAAGATGATAGAGTGAAGTGGTGCTAAACGAAAGCACATAAAAGAGTAGTCTGTAGATTCAAACCTAGTTTCCAGACAAATGGGTGAATTCTTACGAATGTAATGCCTAGTCCAAGCATGTGACTATTGGAGTCTTTATGAATTAAAGAAAGACAACCATCAACACTAAGATCACAAGATGAGACAGCTGAACTCAAATTAGTCTCACAAAGACCAAGTAGGTCTGGTAAACTTTGCAAGAGATAAGACTCAACAGAAGAAAAGTTACTTCGAAGACCACGAATATTGGTGAGTGATAGGTTTAGCATCGAGTCAAGAAGATCCAGCGTTCAACATCCTAAACTGGAAACTTATGTCTTCTGAAACTTTTATTAATTTAACACTTTTTTTACTTTTTTACAAAAACAAATAATTTTTATTATAATATCTTTTTTTAGTATGATGTTGCAGTTATTCAAAACAATAATAAATTTCTCCTTGTTCAGAGGCCTAATAAAGGTAATTTAATTTAATTTTCTTTCTTAATTACTTTTAAAAATCTACTTAATTTAAAGAGGCCATTGTTGTCAATTTTTTTTGTGAAAAAAGTGATCTTCAAAAATATAAAAGCATTTGGGTGTGAAAGGGCTTTCTATCACATATAGTTTGTTTGCAACAATTTTTAGGAATAACACTATTGATATCTTTGCGCTTACTTTATGCTCCTTAAAAAGAATAAATAAAACAATGATAAATTATGAGGAATAACTTTGTTGTTTTTATTAAATAGGCTATTTAATTATTTAAAAATAAGTAAATGCAAGCTATTCACATTTATACCCTTAACTATAATTTTATAGCCTGAAAATTATTAAATACTTCTTTTTTAAAAGTTAGACCCCAATCTAGATCTTTATCCAAAACAATAAGATTTGAGTAATGTCTGGTTTCTAAATATTTAGCTGAACTTTTTATGCTGTTATGTTAAGTTTTTTGTATCTTGATTTGAGAATATTTTTATTTTCAAAAGGGTTGTTGGCAGGATTATGGGAGTTTCCACTTTTTCTTCGAACAGAAAACTCAAAAAATGAAATATTGAGTTTGCAAGTTGAAAAACGATTTTCAATAAAAATTGAAAAGATAAAGGAAATCAATACGGTTTGTTTATTTATTGTTTTTATAACTTACCAGGGTCGGATTTACAAGTTTACAGAATCTTAACAAAGATAGTTTATTTGCAGAATCTAGGCTAAGACGGTAGTGGTGTAGTGGTAGAGCGCTCGCTTCATAAATGAGTGGTTCCGAGTTCGATCCCCACCACGTCCTTGGTAGTATCGCCCTCAACTTGTTTCTCCGTGCAGCGGCCTTGTTCATCAAGGTTCATGTTTCAGAGTTATAGAGTTGAGAGAACCACAAATAAGAAGCCTCCTTGTCTGTAGTGGCCTTCTCGGCCTTGAGGAGGTAAATTAAATTTAAAATAAAATAAAAAAAAGACAATTTTTTAGTTTAAATGATTTTAAACTAAAAAAATTCATTACTTTAATTAAGGAAAATTATGATTCTGCATCAAGAAAAAACACATAAGTTTAACTTATTTTTAAAATATTATATATGATATACACTTTCATATATAGACATTTAAAATCATTTTTATTTGTTCATTTTTCAATTTGTATAGAATTGTTTAAATTGTAAAGTAATTTTTTTTTTGTTAATCTTATCAAATCTTCTTAAGCAAGTTTTTTTTTTTGAAAATTATCACCCTTGATACCTTTATTATTGCCTACATATCATTGCCTGTAGCCTACATATCATTGCCTGTAGCAATGATATGTAGGCTACATAGACTGATACATAGTATCAGTCATTATTGCAATAAAGAAGACCTTACTACAAAAAGATAGAAGTTTTCTTATTTGATAAAAATTAGGTTTTGAGTTAAGTAATATGGAATCATGGAATATAATAGTAAGAAACTCATTGACAAATTTTTTTGAAACTTCTGAAATCAACAATGATTTTTTTTGGCAGCTCAGTTGTGAAATAAAGTAGAAATGAGAAAATAAAAAAATTACTATTATTTTTAATATTTTTGTTAAAAAATTTTTAATAAATTTGATATCATTTTTCTTTTTCGTATAATACTTTTCATTAGATTTTGTACCAAAATCCTAAAATACATGTAAATGATTATTTTATGTATTCTTATTTGTACTCATGTGCAGTCTAAAATTACATTAAAGTTTTATGTATTCTAATTTGTACTCATATGTTGTCTAAAATGACATTAAAATTTTATTTGTACTCGTGCGGTCTAAAATGAAATTAAAATTTTATGTATTCTTATTTGTACTCACGTGCGGTCTAAAATGACACTAAAATTTTATTTGTACTCACGTGCAGTCTAAAATGACACTAAAATTTTATTTGTACTCACATGCGGTCTAAAATGACACTAAATTTTTATTTGTACTTGTGTGGTCTAAAATGACATTAAAATTTTATTTGTACTTGTGTGGTCTAAAATGACATTAAAATTTTATTTGTACTCACATGTGGTCTAAAATGACATTAAAATTTTATTTGTACTCACGTGCGGTCTAGTAATTTTTATACCTCTTTTAATTTTATTTTAAATGTTGTGTTTTTATAACTTAGTTTCTCATGTATTTTTAAAAAAAAAAATGTTTAATTTCTTTTCTTAACCCAATTTCAGTCAATCGTGTAATAAAATATCTTTTGAAACTTTCCATATAAATAATTCTTTGTATATGTTATATTTATATTCTTTTATATGTTATTTGTATGTGTTCAGATTGTTTTGTGAAACTACTTTATAAACTTTCAACTTAAATGACTTTTTAAACTTAAAAGCTCTACTTTTCTAAACAATCATTTTTAATAAAAATATTGATAAAAATGAAACAAACATAAATAGATTGAAAATAGATTAAATAGAAAAACAGAAAGTTTGATAATATTGAATTATATATTATATAAAATATGTAGGCTTATTTATTTAGCAATAAGTGCATTAAAAATTTGTTAATGCTTTTTATTTTTAAAACTTTAAGATTGTTATGATTATTATGTTGATTATGATTTTTATGATTTTATGATTATTATGATTATTATGTTAATTATGATTATTATGTTGATTATGATTATTATGATTTTATGTTGATTATGATAATTATGTTAATTATAATTATTATGTTGATTATGATTATTATGTTGATTATGTTGATTATGATTATTATGATTATGATGTTGATTAGTAAATCAAAAAACAGTTATCATGAAGCAAATCATAAAAAGTTTTTTAAATAATTATTGAAAAAAAAATCAATTTTTGAAAATCTTTCAGCACATTTAAAATCTTTTTGTAGGTATTGAAGTTTTAATTTTGTTCTTAATTTTGCAAAGATTTTCTAATATTTTCTTAATTTCCCAAAAAGAGTCCAAAATTCTTGACAATCTAAAAGTCTTCCCATTAGCAATATGCATAAATCCGGCTTTGTTTTTCATTAATATATTGTAGAATAACATAAATTTTTTTAAAATTAAACTTACATGTATATATTTGTGTGTGTTTGTGTATATATATATATATATATATATATATATATATATATATATATATATATATATATATATGTATATATATATATATATATATATATATATATATATATATATATATATATATATATATATATATATATATATATATATATATATATATATATATATATATATATATATATATGTGACATGTATATTTGCATATTAATATGGTTGTCACATACTTTTGAATACAATTGTTTGCATAAATACTTTTGAATACGATTATTTTCTGCAAACCTTAGATTACCCATATATTCTCACATCGTCATCATACCTATCATGTGGTAACTGGAGTCACTGAGGCAATCACAGATAGCAGGTTATTTTTTTAACTTAACTAAATAATCAAAAACATGATTGACATTAAAGAAAAGTTAAGAAACATGAACTAATGTTAAAGAAGCATAGTAACATTGAGAAGTAAACATTGATATACTAAAGATTGCTTTTTAATAGGTATATTAACTTTAAGACTGGGATTCCAAGTATATTCTTAGTTATAAGTTAGATACATCAATTAAATTTGTGGCTGGGGCTCAAGGTTTTGTTGGAGTTTTAACTGTTGTTTGAGTTAGGTCTGGTTTTTATTTACTTGAATTTTGTATCAGGAATGGATTTGCTGATTTATTAAAAATACTTGCACCAAATTTTTTAACTGCATTTTATTATATTTATGTTTAAAAAAATTCAGAATAGAATTTGTTGACACACTTAAGAGTTAAGACTGATAGCCGATAACAAAAATAGAGTTAGAAATTAAAATATTTATCAATACTGTTTTTAAAAAGGTTTATTTTTTCTTTATCAATTATCCCTTAAGGAAGGCAATTCCAGTCCTTTGTAACTTTTGTAATCCTTTGAAGAAACGTTTTTTTCTAGTCTGTGTGTTCTACAATTATTCTACTAGAGTGTTTCTGCTCAAATTGGTGAAAGGGTGGTGAAAATTAAGGTGAAGAGTGGTGAAAGGTGGTGGAGGGTGGTTAAAATTAATTATGTCTTTTCCTTTTGAAATCTTATACATTTGAATCAGATCATCTTTTCTTCTATATTGCAATGTTTCAACATTACAAGATATTCTTCTATATTGCAGTATTGGCAATTTTAATATCTTTATTCTTTTTTTATATGGCTTTCCACTTAAAGATTCGATTCTCGTAGCCATGTGTTGCACTAATTCAAGATTTTAAATGTCCATCTAATATGGATTCCAAACTGTTGCTCCATATTCCAAATTGTGATGTACTAACGATTTGTATAGTAATTTTAATAAAAAAAAAATACAAATACTCAAAAGAATTATCATGCCTAATTTTCTATTTGATTTTCCATTAGCATTAAATGTGATGAATTTACTATAGATCATTTGAAATGAAACTAAGGTCTTTTTTGATTGTTGTCTTGTTAAAACAGAGTTATTTAATTTATATTTATATATTGGTAAAAAGAATCCATATTATATCTAATATGGATTCTTTTACTAATATACATGACTCTATAATTAATTATATTTTAATTAATTTTAAATTTTAATTATAAAAGTATTATGCAGTTGTTGGATTTTTTAGGAATTAGGTTATGTATGCAATTAATAATGACAATATTTTTTTTTGTAGCTCTGACAATGAAGGTCTTAAAATAGTATGGTTGACTAAAGATTCTCTGTTAAAGTCTGCAATATCAACTGCAGTAAAAAAGGTTCTAATAAATTAGTATTAATAAAATATTTTATATATTAACTTATTTTTAAAATGTAAAAAAGTTGACAAATTGTTTTAGTTTATTTTTTAAGTTTAACTTGACCATTTTATTTTAAGTTTATTTTAAATTTATTTTTTTAACAATATTTACAATAATTTACAATTTTTATTTTTATTTACAAATAAAATGTGTCTAGTATTAAACATTTTATAATATTATTTACAAATAAAATGTGTCTAGTATTAAATAATTTTTTATTGATGATATTTGGCTTATGATTTCAATGTTGACATTAATAAAAATTAGTAATTTTATTTATAATTTTTACTGTTCATAATTTTTATTCTTATTTTCATTATTATACTTATCATTACTTTTTTTTTTGTGAGGCATTTTGTTTAACCAAATAAAAAACTAAACATCTAGATTTTAAAGAACTGTAGAAAGTTTGGTGTTGAGTTTTGAAATAAGTTTATTTTTTGTTGTGCATGTAATATAGCTAAAGTATTAAACATTGTAAAGTATTTATTTTATAGCTCATCTTCAGAAATTTTTTTATGACTTTAAAGACTTTAATTTTAAATCAATTTTCTATTATATTTTTGGTTACTTAAAATCATTTTTGGTTACATAAAAACATATTTGGTTACTTAACCCTTTCAGTACTGGGGAATCACACTGCGGTTTAAAGATTAAATTTTCTATTCAGCAAAAAAAACTGCATGTCTTTAGCACTTTTCCTTCTAGAAATACAAAGTTTTAAAAAATGTCATTACATCCTCAAAGTAATAAACTCCGAAAAAACTTTTTTATGAGAGTTGCAATAAAAATGATATAACTTTGGTTCTTGTTGAGATTTTTTTTTATATCTAAAAAAAAATATATTTTATATTAAAATATATTTTTTTATCAGAATATATTGCAGAACAATATATTTTATCAGAATATATTGCAGAACAATATATTCTGATAAAATATCCCTTTTGTTAAAAATAAGTTACATTTCTAAACCCTCTAACTTTTTTTTGTTTGTTTTATTCACAAAAAAAATCCACTATTTTTGGTCATATGATGTGAAAAATGTCGCTATGACAAAAATTGTTTTTTTTTATTATAATGAGCAGCTTTGATGAAAAAAGGAACCAAGTTTGAAGTATTTTTTTAAACTGTAACAATTTGATTGAACATAGTAAAAAACAGCTAATTTTTACTCGGGAAATTTTTATTCGGTACCAAAAGAGTTTAAAACATATTTGGTTACTTAAAAACATATTTAGACTATATAAAAAGCAATTTTTTAAGCAAATTTATTAACTGAAGTACAATGCAATGAAAAGTTATAGATTTATGAAAAAGGTTTGTGAGAGGGTCCTAAGGAAAGAAAATTGTCATCCATAGTCTAAACACTGACATTAGAAATGTAGTCTTGTCCATTTTGTAAACACTGACACTGGAAATGTAGTCTCATCCATTGTGTAAACACTTACATTGGAAATATAGTCTCATCCATTGTGTAAACACTAACATTGGAAATGTGAATAAGTAAAAAAAAAAAAAAAAAAAAATGTTATGAAGTCTACAACATTTTTAATTTCTTTCTTTATAAAAGTTTGTTATTATCAGTTGTTTCATTTTGCATAAAACATTATATATATTTTTTCAATTGTCTAATTGATTTTAAATGTTTATCCATTAAACATATAAATATTAAATATTTAAGATATTTTTGTTCTTTTTTTGTTATTTTAAATTGCAACTTAGAAAAATCCTTTTTTTGACAACCATTTAAAACTTTCAAAAAGCAATAAAGTCTGCTTTCTCTAGTTGTTTTCTTTGTTCAGGGTGGTCACAATAGGATGACCACACCTCCTCTAAAATCCTCTAAAGTCCTCTTTTTTCAAAAATCTTATCTAAAACCTCTAAAAAGTTAAAAATGTAATCAAATCTCTTTAACTCCTCTTTTTTTTTTTTTTTTTTTCATTTCTTGATGGTAGTATAATGTTCAAAATTCATGGTCTCCAAAACTGGGTAACGTCTGAAATGAGGATTGGGTCATAAAAAATTAATTTTAGCAAATCCATGTCATCTAACATAAAAAAATGACATTGTTGACCCCTGTCCAAACCCCAGTTATGTGGAAACTTAGGCATTGAACCTATATAAAAAAATCTTCTATTTTTATTCAAAATTTTGTCGTTTTGCGAAAAAGTCCTCTATATTAAATGCAAAATCTCCTCTAAAATCCTCTAATATCCTCATTTCTTATAAAAATTTTACCTGGCCACCCTGTTGTTCTGCTTGCATTATGTTAAAATATTTCCTACAAAAAAAACCTTATTTGTTTTAATTTTTGCAATATTCATTTTTATAGATTTTATTTCCATTTTTATAGTATTTATTTTCATTTTTATAGTATTTATTTCAAAATACATTTTAACAAAATTTATACCATTATAAATTTGTTTTAATTTTGCAGAGTACTTAATTTATCCATTTCATTTTATGTATTTTTTTCTTTTTTCTTTTGTTATTTTACTTGTATGCAAAATATTAATTTAAATTAATTTATCATTTTAATTTTAAATTTAGACTTAATTTTCCATTTTTAATAAACTTATAATCAATAAATCAAAAGAACATAATTTTAAATCTATCATAAGAACATGATTTTGAATCTATCATATGGACATGGTTTTGAATTTCTAATATTATGGAGAATAAAGTTGCTTAAAAGTATTTAAGATTTTAAATTGTTCCCAAATTTTGGAAAAAGTTTCTTTGACATTCAACTTTTAATTTATTTACAAACCTGAACAGACATTTTTTTTACTGTGTTTTTTACTTGTGAAGGATATTTTTAATAATTTGCATTTAGTTTAAATTAAAAAAATCTAAAATATTTTTAACAAAAAATATACAAAAATTTCCAAAACCAAAAGTATTAACTTTAGATATTAATTAAACCAATATTAAAATCTTAAACTAATTTAATCATATAATATTAAAAATACAATTATAATTAAAAATACATATACAAAGAGTAATGGTATTTATTTTGTAACAGTCTTTAAGTTTTCTAGCTAAAACAAATGACTATTTTTATAGCAACAAATTAAAAAAATATCATTAAAAATATTTGAATTTAAAACTTTAATGTAAGACATTGTAAGATATTTTATTATTTTATATAATACAATTAAACAGTAATAAGCTTTTAAAGATTATTAATTTATTCTTTTGTTATCTTAAATCAATTGATGACTTAGAACTTAAGTGGTCATATCCTGATCATATCTGAACATTTCATAACTAATGAAAGGATGTTCATTTCACCTAAACAACAAATTTATTTAAATTATGATTTTAAAAAGATTTTTTTTTAAAAGAATCTTTGGTGTGGGTTTTTTCCTTACAAACATTTTTACTTTATGTTACAGTAAAATTTATCATTTTGATTTTTTTCTGTTTTTTCATAATTCACAAACCTGATCAATTTAAATAGGTCGTAGTCAGCAAAATATCATACAGATGCTATAATAATTTAAATGTTATTAATTATTTAAAAATGTTATGCTTTATATTTCAGTCAAAGGTGGTTTTTGGATTTTAAAAATTTTTATCCCTAGTAAAAAAAATTATTTTCTAAGTATTGTGACAATCCAACTTACATATACATAGAGAGCAATGGTATTTATTTTGTAACAGTCTTTAAGTTTATTTTTTTATTAGTACTGTAAGTTTTAAAGCAATTTCAACTCTCGGTTTTTTTGC